TTACTCTGTCGTTCCACTGGTTGCACACACACGGCGACGACGGTATCTGTCACTTGTTGTCAGCTGGTGAGGTGTTCGAAACTGCTTACCTCGTCGTCCCCCGACGACACTGTCCCAGTCCACACGCAGCCCAGCTCCAAATAGGTGCCATCGATTCAACGCCAAGGAATATTTCAACTGAACGAGGTAGGCGCGACGGAAGTCAATAGCTGTCTGCTCGAACCATACCGCGGCGCAGACGAACCCATTTTAGGTTAGGGGGCGCGCCATGGAGGAGGAAGGAATCTCACAGAGGGGTGAAGGGTGGTAGGGGGCAGGGTAGCAAGACGATCGAACTTTCACTTTTTAGTCCCTGTGCAACTTCCAGTAACCTAACCTGCAAAGCAACCTTGCCGGTGTTGTGTTGTCTCCGAGAGCGTGAATGGCATGGCGGCGGCTCCACAGCTGAGCGCCTTTTTAGCAGATGATACATCAATTACAAACAAGAAGAAAAAAAGAAACGGAAACAAACTAGAAAGAAACTTATTGATCAGCTTGTACTCTCGCATTAGGTTAGGGAGGCGGGATTCCAGTCGACGCAGTGCGTGCGTGTGCAGTGCAGGCCTGGAGAGGGGGAAGTCAGCCAGGCTGGGCGAGGGGTCGGGAGGGAAGAGGGGCCGAAGCGGGGCCAAGGCGGGGAGTAGGCGAGGCTCCGGAACTCGAGCAAGGCGGGACCTTTTGAATTGTATTTGCGTCTAAAGGAAAATTCGAATCGCGAATTACTCATTCCATAACTCCCTTCTAACAGCTGACGAGGGCCACAAGTCAAGGGTATACAGTGCATTTATGTTCACAGTGTATACACCGTTAATCCAGGTTAAATCCAGGGTGTCGTGCCATTATGTTCGTGCAATTACTCCGAATAAGACCGCAGTAGGCAGGTAGGCGACCAAGTCGCATAGTTTCTGCGGGGCTAGGCGATTTAGTCGCCCGCATGCTTCACGCTTCACACCCTCGATTTACAGTGTAGACGTTTGCGCATATTAAGGGGGTGCTGTTGTAGGCAAGCGAAGGGCGACTGACCGCCAAAGTGCAAGGAACCAATCATTTCATTACTAAAACAGTGCACTTTATGCCGACAAAACACAGGGTGGGGTAGGGGGAGTCATGACGCGGCTCTCGATCATAAGTGGATTGCAATGAAAATCAGACGCGGATTAAGGTCCGGCTGTCAAAGGGGGAGGGGGGGGGGAGAGCGATGCACTGTCGGTGCCTACATTCAGGGAGGTTTGTGGCGCAATTTGCCCACCTTCCAGGCGGTTTTCTAGAGTCCTTGGGGAGGGCTATCGCCCCCCTCCCCCCACCCTAAACACACACACCCACACGCACACAGACACACTTTAAAAGATCTTTGCCTGTCATAACGATACCTAGACATACACCCAGAGAAATGATTAGCACTGGCAACCATCATATGGTTGGCTCAGGGAGCACCATAAAATGTGGTTGATGCAATCTTACCGTGGTAGTGAGAACCAAAAATATGGTTTTCATCACGTTGTCACCGTTGTCTCAACCATATTTTATGGTGCTCCCTGAGCCGACCATCAGATGGTTGCCATTGCTAATCATTTCTCTGGGTGTAGTATTCCGTCCCTCCCCCTCCCAGCCCTCTCCCTTTCTGCAAACGCGCCTAGACAAGCGTGCTCACCGCACCGCATCTCTGTCCCTCCAGAGCATGGAGCTGCTCCCGGACAACGTGCTGCTCGAGGTGATGCAGTGCCTGGACTTAGCGGACCTGCTCGCCTGCCGCCTCGTGTGCCGTCGGCTCGGGGCCCTGGCGATGCTCCCGGAGGCTTGGCGGCATCAGAGCCTGGACCTCGTCTGCATTGACGACGGCTACGGCTTAAACGGCCCTCGTCACAACGAGTGCGCTGTGCTGCAGCTGGCGCCCTGCCTGCGCGAGTGGGAACTCATCATCCCGCTGGAGAAGTTTCACACGCTGTACACCACGACCCGGTGTGCCGTGCACACGCTAACATTCTGTGTAGAAGAGATGAGTGGGAAAGACGCACTTCAAGTCAGCCTCCTCATCCGGAACCAGGCGGCGCTCGGCCGGCTGAGGAGGCTTAGTATCGGTTCCCATGTGTGGCGGAGTACCATGGATGCCGAGGACGCCGCCGTGCTGCTCGGGACGGTGGCGGCGACGACCTCCTGCCTAGAAGAGCTGCAGCTTTTAGGATTCGATTGCTACCCGCCGTCCACGCTGGCCGGTCTTCACAGGTCCTTCCCCGGCGCGTCCCTGAAGAGCTTTGAGCACGACCTGGAGGAATGCCCGGAGGCGGAGCCCTTCTGCGAGTTTATCCTGTCCACGCACGCCACCACCCTGGAGTCGGTTAAACTCGGCTGCTACTACTTCACCTCGACGTCGACTGCTGCTCTCCTGGCAGGAATACCGAACCTACGTAGTCTGCAGTGTGGCATGATGCCCGGGCTGGAGGCCGTGGCCGGGTGCGAGCAGCTGAGGGACCTGGAACTGTGCGTGGCGTACGACGGCGAGGCCCTCGCCGCCGCCGAGTTTCTGCGCCGAGCCACCCAACTAGTCAAGGTGACGCTCGATTATGATGAGGTCGGCATGGCCCCTTCCCTCGACGTGGATTTTGTGCTGGCTCTGACCGCGACTGAGCACTCGCGCCTGGAGGCACTGTCTATCAAAACTAGGGACGGGGGCCCCTTCCCTCAGCAGCAGTCTCTGCTCAAGGCGCTGCCCCACCTACCGGCGCTCAAGCACCTAGAGGTGCACGCCGAGGCCACCGACGAACTCCTGCTCGGTAGCACGCCCGCCACCGCGCCGGCCCTGCGCACCCTCAAGGTATCCAGAATAGACGTCAAGTGTGCGCACGACGCACTGCACCGAGACGCGGTGCAGAAACTCATGTCCTTGAACCCCGACCTGAAGTTTTTCACTTATAAGCTAAGCTATTGCTACACAGATGATCGTTGCGCGTGGTGTTCTCTGGGTTGCCACCAGGAGATGCGGGATGATTCGGGCCCACCACCAAAGTATTGTGCCAACTATGCTACCATTCCTCGATTGTGAAATTGTAAATTAATTAGTTTGTTTCTCATTTAAATTTAATGATAATTTTTAGTTTAGGAATAACAAACCCTTTATCCAGACCGATCGATACTAAATGCTTGTTAATTATTGTATCTCTTGGTTTATTTTTCTTATACTTCCAGTTGAAATACATTATCATTTGTTTGGGATAATCATTTCTTTTCAATCAGATACCGTTGCGGACGCGGGAACATCATCAAGAGGGGTGGGGAGGTACAAGGTAAACACAGCGTGAAAATGCCGTGTTTTTTTCTCCTTTCAGATTTATTCGGCAAGTTAGGGGGGGTTGAGCTCGGCGCCTGCGAGACTGTGGGTAGGCCACACCGATGTACACGAATGCACTACAGGCAGGTTTTTGCCTACCTGGCAGGCGCTATGGGACCTTGCATGCGCGGAGTAAGACAAAGTTATCTGCGTGCGGTATTCGAACCGCCCTACTTGTGGCGGGCGCATACAACTAGTTCGAAACACGCCACTGCCCCCTCTAAACCCTGAAGTTTTCGAGAGTCGCCTACCTACTAGGTACCCCGTATTTACAGTGAAGACGTAGACGCGTATCCAGAGGATCCTCCATTTGCCGACAAAAATGGGGGGGGGGGGGTAAAGTGGAGGAGTGGGGTTGTCATATGGCGTGGCTCGAAGCAGATCTTAACCATATTAGAAAATCACACTGAAAACACACTCACGTCTTCGTTCTGTCCCTGCAGGACATGGAGCTGCTCCCAGATGACGTGCTGCTCGAGGTGATGCAGTACCTGAAAATAGAGGACCTGCTCGCCTGCCGCCTCGTGTGCCGCCGGCTCGGGGCCCTGGCAATGTTCCCGGAGGTTTGGCGGCACCAGCGCTTCGAACTCGTCTGGTTTGACGACACCCCTCGCTACAAACAGTGCTCTGTGCTGCGCCTGGCGCCGTGCCTGCGCGCATGGCGGGTTCGATTCCCGCTGGAGAAGTTTCACACGTTGTACACCACGACCAGGTGTGCCGTCAACAAGTTGACATTGAGTTTGAATAACGTGTCAGAAAAAGACGCACTTCAAGCAAGCCTTGTCATCCGCAACCAGGCGGCACTTGGCCGGCTAAGGAGGCTTAGTTTGGGTCCCTGTATGTGGGAAAGTGTCAACCATGTCGAGGGTACCTCCGTTCTTCTCGGGACGGTAGCGTCAACGCCACGCCTAGAGGAGCTAAAAATTAAAGGATTTCGGTGCTTCGCGCCATCCATATTGGCCGGTCTCCATAGGTCCTTTCCCGGTGCGTCCCTGAAAAGCTTTGAGCACGATCCGCGAACCCCGGAAGAGGAGCTCTTCTGCGACTTTATCCTGACAATGCACGCGGCAACCTTGGAGTCCGTTAACCTCGGCTGCTTCCCTCTGACCTCAACGTCAACTGCAACTTTCCTGACAGGAATGCCGAACCTTCGTAGGCTGCAGTGTGGCCTGATGCCCGGGCTAGAGGCCGTGGCCGGGTGCGAACAGCTGAGGGACCTGGATCTCTATGTGGAGTACGACGGTGAGGCCTGCGCCGGTGCCGAGTTTCTTCGCCGAGCCACCCAACTCGTCAAGGTGACGCTCGAGTATGAACCAGAGATCGGCGTAGCCTCCTCCCCCGACATGGATTTTGTGCTGGCTCTGGCCGCTACCGGGCGCTCCTGCCTGGAGGAACTGTCATTGGATTTCGAAGATTCGCACCACCACTTACCTGAGCAGCAGTCTCTGCTCAAGGCGCTGCCCCACCTACCGGCGCTCAAGCACCTGGAGTTTGGAGGCCCGGCCACCGATGAACTCCTGCTCGGCATCACGCCTTCCAACGCGCCGGCCCTGCGCACCCTCAACGTATTCACAATACACGTCGATTGTGCGCACGACGCGCTGCATCGGGGCGCCGTGCAAAAGCTCCTGTCCTTGAACCCCGAGCTGAAGTTTTCCACCTATGTGCAAAGCTATTGCTACAAGGGCGATCGTTGCGCGTGGTGTTCACTGGGCTGTCACCAGGAGATGATGCAGGATGTTCCAGTTCTACCTCCAGAGTTTCCAGAGTATGATGATACCGACTGGGTCGTCATTCCTCGACTGTAAAATTTTGTAATGAGTTGCTTCTTTTTTGTTTAATCCTGATATCAATATTTTGTTTTTCAATATCAGCCGGTGCCACTTACACTAAAACTTGAATAATTTGTTTTTGTTTTTTACTTACAGTCGAAATGTATTATAATTTGTGTGGGAGAATCCTATCCTTGTTTTCCAATCAAATACCAATGCGGAGGCGGAAACAATTTTATCGGGGCTAGGGAAGGTACGCTCACGAGGTACGTCAGGTTAAAAGGGATAAAACTCCGTCTTTCTCAGATTTTTTTCTGCACGTTACAGTAGGTGAGCTCGATGCCTGCGAGACTTTGGATAGGCCACTCCACAACGCTTTACACGCATGCATCGCTGGCAAGTTTTTGCCTACCCGTCAGGCGAACGAGACCTAGCATGCATACCCTTGACCACGCGAAGTAGAGAACGAGACAGTCCAGCTCCAAAAGTAAACTCAAAATGTACGAGGCACACAAAGACAGAGAGCCAGTGATTTAAATTTAGGCATCAAAATAACACTGAATATCTGCTTATGGAACGCTAATCGGAATATCCGAAATTTGAAGGCAATCTTCACAAAAACGGGAAACTTCCTCTGGTGAACTGACTAAACAAGATCACTCGCCAAAAATCAACAAATTGTGCTAGAATCATCAGTCACATTTTGCATAATTCGTAATTTCCGCTCGCCGAAAACATACTCATTATCATACTTCAGAGGGCTGCGGTTCAAATTTATAATTTAGACTGGGAATCACTTGTCAAGTGGACGTGCCATGTGGTGCCCGGTGCCGATTAAGGGGTAGAGGTTCGAGCACGGGGCGCGAGGCAGGCGCGGATTAAGGTCTGGCCGACAGTGGGGGGGTGGGGGGGATGCACTGTTGGTTGCCTACTTACAGGGGTTTTGTGACTCATATTGCCTACCTTCCAAGCGGCTCACTAGGGACGATGGGGGGGGG